TACCAGGTGATAAATTTGGGACATGAATTTAGTGATTCAAACCCGCTCGATTTCTGGTCATTTGCAACGACGACCAGGCTTCGAATATCTGATGGTAACATACTAACATTCAAAGACTCATGCGATGCTTAATAACATTCCTAGTAAATGTATACCAAAGTCTATCAGGATTAGTTTAGTGCAAAATTTTGTGCTAGACAAATTCTGAATCCTCATATTAAATTAGTGTATTTTCTTAACGTAGTCTCATTCTAATTCAGATTTACAGCATTTCCTTAGGCTAATTCTAACTAGCATCCAAATCTCGGACGATGTCCATGATAGTTTGTTCTAAATCCCATTGGGAGTGAGGATGAGGTTTATTCGTTTATAAGGATATACGGATATACGAATATACAGATATACGGATATACGGACGGAGTGCCGCGCGGCACGACTCTTGATTTGATTACACCTCGCCATGACAAATGCTCCCGGAGCCCTGCAGTCACCGCGACCTGCAAATTTATGGCTTCTTGTGCAAAAAATGGGATGTGGATACATGGGCACAAGTATATGGGCAAGTGGACTTAAATTTACAGTGAAGAATAATTGAATACGGTTAAAGATAGGTGTAATAGCCATACTCGAATGCAAAACAATTTATAAAAATATTATATAGCAAAAAATACGTCGCAGTTATTTGATAGTTACTACATTTTTTGTACAGCAATCAGCACTTAAAAATCCTATATGCTGTTGTGCTTACTAGTCGGTTTTATAGATGGCATTCCAAACAGTTGTCTTACTAAGGTATGATGAATTATTATTATAGCTCCTATAATTAGGTGACTTTATTGTTGCAGCGATGACGGATTAGAGCTATAGTTTTTTGGAAAATTATTTCTATATCTATATTTTCATATTACGTGCTTATAAAACCAAAAGCATATATTAACTTACCGTAGAGTAAGTTATAGTAATTGGCCAAAAATCAAAAATTAAAATTTCTTCATTTTGAATACGATTAATTAAGTTGAATAAACATTGTCATCCAATTTACAGGCTTTTATATTTTGTCTGTAAAAAAGGAATAGCAAAAGTTACAGTATTTTCTTCTATTAATTTATTAAGGTACGAAAAGTTCCAGCAATTTGCTTAAACTAGTGCTATACACCACTAGTTTTAATTTTGTACGACCAGCATCAGGCTTAAAATCCTGTTAGCTTATTCTTCATTTCAATGAGAACTGATCTACGGTGCCTGTCAAGCGATTATCGTGACAAAAGCATTTATTTCGATCAGGTTCATAATATTTTTCTAAGTGTTTTTAGGCACCGACTCTTAGAATTTCTTAATTAAATTCAAAAATTCTGATATGCAAAACATATATCTAATAAGAATCTAACAGATTTTCTGTTCAACAGCAAAAGTTGAATTGAATAAAAATTTCAGTATGTTGGTAAAATTTGCTTTTGAAATTTTCGGTTTTCTTAGTTCTACCAACTAATCACATAGCAAATTGATATTGGATGATCTTATATTTCTTCCGAAATTATCATTTCCATCTACTACTTATCCATATATTTATGAACAGAACTTTTTTTGCTCTGATATAAATATTTCTGTTCTGGAGATTTGAGAAGTCGAAGAAATCGATCATGTTATCAATTAGTTTGACGGATATATGCTTAAGTAACTCAAACAAAACAACATTTATACTTATCAAAGAAAACTCGAAAAGAATTCTTCGGCAATGATAGAAAGAATTTGTCAATTTTTCAGTTCAGCCCCCCAGTGAATTAGTGGTGATTAAAATTAAGGAATTTCAATTAGAGGTACCGGTTCAACACCTTCCTTGGGTAGCTGGATGTCAAGAAGTAGTAACATTGGTTTTTACTTAGAAATATAAATAGCAATATGTTTTCAAGTGTTATAGCACTAGCTGCATCAAAAAAATCATCTTTATTGCTGAATTTGTGGTAATAAAATTTACAGATAGGGCATCTGTTTAGGTTGCAATCTGTAAAACCGACGTAGATAGCTAAATCTAATTGTTACAACAGCTTATAGGACCTTTACGTCTTGATCGTAGTTTAAGTAAAAAAAAATCAGTGTAAATTGTTGAACTGTTGGTTGAATTAATCAACTTGGATTGGGAAAGTCAAATAGGCTCATCTTGTATTCAAATAGTTTGAGGGATGCTTCAGGTAACAATAAAAAATGCTACTTGGTACTTAACAGAAAACAGAAAATAATATATAGGTAATAATAACAAATTCGACTTTTCTCTGATTCGTAGCACCCAATAAATGAATTCGCAGAGATGAATTTTATTTTTAACTTCCCGTAGGGCAAGTTATAGTAATCGCAAAAAAATCGAAAATGAAAATTTTTATATATCTTTACGTTTCAAAGGTTTCTGAACATTTTGGCATACCTTAGAAAAATGGATGTATGTGTGTGTGTGTGTGTGTGTGTATGGTATGTATGTTGTATGTATGTATGTATGTATGTATGTATGTACGTGTGTGTATGTATGTGCGGATACAAATTTTCGTCGACGATTTCGGGAACACGGATCAACCGATTTGAATAATTCAAAAATCATTCGATCGTATTGATAAGGAGACGTGCTGATTAGTTTTTGGCAAAGGCAGGTCTAGCCGTTCCGGAGATACGGGGCAAAAAGTGCCGAAAACGGTAACTCAGTTTTTACGAGGACGGAGCGTCCGATTTTAATAATTCAAAAACATTTTACTTGTATTGACAAGATAAGAACTGATCAAATTTTCATAAAGCAGGTCTAGCGGTTTCGGAGATCTAACGAAAAAAGTAAAAAAAAATGCCATTTGGCGGTCAAAATGATCATTAACATATGCACACACAATTTTCAGATATTTTATAGAGATTTTAACAATAAGTATAAATTTTGTTTACATTCCTATGGTTCCGTACCAATGCTTATGCGTTAGACAGCGACGCGGCGCTTACGCGCTTTATTTTTGTCCCTATGCAGATAAAGCAGTACGATTGCTTGAAAAAAAGTTCAGATCTTCCACAATATGTCAGAATAAAGTCAAATTAATTTTTTTTTTTTTTTTTTATTTTTTTTCATTAAAAGTTATTTTTTGTCCAATTATAGTTTCTAAAAATCTTAATTTTTTAAAGTAATTTTTTTTCAAAAATGTTAATCGTTTTAAAAAAATAATAATTTTGGTACGGGAAGTTCGAGCAATTTGCCTTAAGGCACGATGCCTTAATTGCCTTAAGACAGAATTCCACTTACAGCTAGTTTATCATGACATCTCATGGCCGGCCGTTTCTCGTTCATTCAGTTGCATCGAAATCTATGGAGATTCATCGTTGTTTCGTTGCATGTCGCCACTGATTAAAATTCATTTGTGTGTTTTGTATTTGTACTACAAGTACAAAAGCAATGCGAGCAATTCTACTACATCGGTGCGATTTCCGAATGCGAGGTTTCGTGTTAAACTAACTGCGAATGATTCGATTTGGATCCCTAATTCAGATGGGTGATTTTCGGAGCCCGTACTACAAACTGCAATAATTGCTACGACAAATAAATCTCATCAGTACGACAAATAATAAAACGTGAGCTGGGACACGGTTGCACGCAGGTATCAGCTGAATGTCAATAACTAATTTGTTCAAAGGATTTGAAATTATTTTTATTGTCATAGGTCATAAAAACAACTCAAAAGGAGTCATAGAGCGTAGTTAGCTTAAATAGTTGCTTTGGCGACCTGCTATTGTTTATCATTTTAAGAATTTTAATTATTTTTTGTTTTAATCATTTCTAAATGCAATGCAAAATGCACTAAACATTGCATATTTTTATATTTATTAATTTGTGCCTATTTCATCCTGAACAAGAGGAAATTTATGGTTGTACTTAAAAAATGTGCATATTGAATGCCAATCCATTGATTGGACGTCAAGGTATGACGTAATGAATTAAATAAATTTGTTTAATTTATTCAAAGCATTTTAAATTATTTTTTTATTTTTATAGTTTACAAAAAAAATCAAAATTGAGTTTTTATATCAACTATTTGTGTTAACTACAGTTGAGGCAATATAGAGAAACTTTTTGTTGTTTTTATAAACTCTGAAAATAATTTAAATTTAAACATTTTAGTTATTCACATTCAGCTGATAGCTCTTATTAATAATATCAAACTTAATTATTTATTAAATCAATGTTTTGATTAGCAAAATTATTTGTAATATTACTTACAAATCTTCATTAAAATTTTATTAAAGTTTTATATATCACTTTAATCTAGAAGAACAGGCAAATGCATTCGCCGTTGAATAAAAATATATATTTTGATATTATATAGCAATTAAATGCATAATAAATATTTTGGTGATATTGATATTAGTAATTTTATGTAATTTAAATGATTTATAATAAAGTTAATTGTAATATTCAAACATACATATTTCTAATTAATCGTCCTATTAATGTACTAAAAACTATTAATAAAATAGCAAAAGCATGCTATAAATATAGGCATCTTCATTTTACTAAACGCTTTTATTTTCCTCATAATATATTAATAACTAACCTGTAAAGCATTTTGAGTTTTTTGTGTAAAGAAAATTAAATTCTGTCAATCCAAGCACTTTCTATATAATGCACCACAAAATTTTATGACAGTAATTTTTACTTGCTTATCTATTAATTAAATGCACTCTTTCTTAAACTTATGCAACACTAGAAATAAAAAATTATTGTCATTTTTTTCGAACATTATAAAATACTGACAAGAAGTTATGCATATGATTCATTATTCTTATATAATTTATTTCTAAATTGTACAAAATATACACAATATTAACAATAATTTTCCACATGCAAAATAAACTCCAGTAGAATATAAAAATAGCATGTACAAAAATATTTTCAATTTAATAATAATATTATTTATAAGTGTATCGCAATTTATTATTACATTCATATAAAAATAATTCACTATTGGCTTATACTAATTAATTTCACTAACGCCGTAGAAAATATCATTTCCTAATGTTTCTCAAATATTTCGCTAATAAATGCGAAAAAGGCACGAATTATTTATTATGATTGTTTTACACTAAATTATTTATTTAACCATCACTAATTTTGGGTGGCACTACTTCAAACAAAACCTGGATGAGATATGTCAGGCCCTCTGGAAGAAAAAAATTATTTTATTAAAAGTCGATAAATAAATGTGTACGTACATATACATAATGTAATGTGAATATTATATTTTATGTAATCTTATTTTTATTAAGAAATTCAAGATAAGTGATATATCAGTTTTTTTCTACGCGTTTGCTACTAGCTTTATTTGTTTTACCTTGAAAGTTAATGCGACATAAAAATATGTGTTTTCCTTATTAAGGTAATAATGCCGTAAAGTTTTAATTAACTCATGCTTGGTTTTAACACTTCGTTCAAAAGATTAAATTAATGTTGGCATTAAGTCATTCTTTAAAGCGAAAAATTATTTAGATTTGATATTTTTGATAAATTACTTGTATTCAAGCATTAATTGTAATAATGAGTCAAAGGTCGATTATTTAATATAAAAAATCATATTAATACATACCCATCCAAGAAGGCTTTTTCTTGTAATATACAAGAGGTATATACACAGCCACGCCTGATAATATAAAACCGACTGCAAACAAAAACTTCGGCGAAGGATCCGTTGCAATTGGCATCACTGATAAAAATACTGCTACCAACAAAATAAATATAGGAATGATTGTAGGCACTTTGTACGGTCTATGAACATTGGCTTTGCTTTTCCTCAGCACAAGCAATGAAACCATAGCACAGCCATAGAAAAACCAAATCAAGAAACTAGCAAAATCTATCAATGCTATAACATCTCCTGAAAGCATAAAAGCTGCAGAAATAATTCCTTGCAGAGCCACTGCTGGTGCAGGGGTCATTCTGGTGATGTGGACGTACGACAGAGCTTGAGCCATGTGGCCCTCTTGGGCAGCTACGTAACACAATCTGGTCACTCCAAATTGTATGCTTAAGGCGCAACCAAATGTAGAAATTGCTACTCCTAAAGGTATAACACAAGCAAATGGTCCCAAAGCTCTTTCACCAAACGCTAAGCCGACTGCAGGCGAAGCTATCATTTCTGGTATATCCAAAACGGCCAGATAAGCGGCGTTCATTGACACATATAAGGCTGTTATCAGAGGAACGGCAATGGCAATGCTCCTAGGAATGTTGACCTCGGGTTTTTGGATTTCCTCAGTGACAGTGGTAACTGAAGACCATCCATCGTATGCCCAGAGGCCGCTGTAGAACGCCAAAGCTATACTGCCTGGAGATGTCGTGGTTCCGGCGAAACCGCTGGATAAACGTTCGACGCGTCCTTGCCATAACTCAAAAAGCCCTGTTGAGGAAACAGAAGATTTTTGTAATACGCACTTTTAATAAAGAAAAATATTAAATTACTAACCTCCTGCAATTACAACCAAGCACGCCACAATTTTGCACGTCGCGAAAACATTCTGCAATTTCACATATAATTTGACACTGGTAATGTTGATAAACGTAATGAGACCTATGGCAAGTAAAGCTACTATTTTCTTAATTAAATCTCCTTGGTTACAGGAGACAAATGGTTGTACTGCATATTCGGCAAATGTTAAAACTATCACAGCCACCTGAAAATGGAAACAAATATATTTATTAGATCTTTTACCATCAATTTTAGGGAAAATAGAACAATATTAATACTGTAAGACATCATTATTTATTTAATGGTTATTTTGACGATCAATAATAAAACATATTATTGACATCTCTGTTACTAATATGAAGTAGATAATTCTATTATTTTAATATTGTAAAGTCCAAGAACAAAATAGGACTTTATGTTAAACCTTCTTGCATCGTTTAACAAACTGATAGCCACCGTCAATAAAAATAAAAATAGAAATAATATCAACCGCTTCCATATTATTGACTCAATATTAAATCTTATTAAATTGCATTAACACATTATTCAAATTGCTTCTACAATATTTCACTATGAAAAACATAAAAAAAACCCTGGCGCTATAGAAGGCAAGATTCTATTAATATTTAATTATACAAATCGATCGATGCTACCTGTCATAGCTATTACAGTCCAAAGATTAATGACCGAATTGTCATTAAAGTAATTAATTATCAATGTGAGTAACAAAAAACACGATCGATATGTAAACAAACCAGCCTTTTATTGACGCACTTACTTCAGCGGGTCGAAGAACTACAACATACACCCACGAACAGACAAAGGCGGGCAGCGGTCCCCAGAATTTGTTTTTGTCCCCGAACGACTCGAGGAAATAGGCGTACTCGGCTCCGCTACGAGGGACTACGGTACCCAACTCGGCAAAGGCCAGAGCACCTATAGTAAAAGACAGACTAATATAATGATTATCTATCTTATTAGAATAAATTTAATGAAATGATAAAGAAAATTCTCACAATTATATTTTTTATAAAATAACTTTCAAATCCTTCAAGTTCAATCCAAACATATTTATTAATTTACGTACTATAGCTTCTTTTCAAAATCTATTTCTATTTTACTGTTTTCTTTTGTAATTTATTTTAAACGTATTTTAATTAAGCAAATTTAATTGATACACTTCACTCCAATTTTTTTTTCCTGAATATTCAATGCATAATTATTGTCTTTCTTCAGATAACAAATAATAAAAATAAAAAATGTTTAATGTGAACTACCTAAGACCAATAAACAACGACTTTAGATGAACCTAAAAAAAATACTCGTAAAAGATTTATTAGTATGAAAATTCAATAATCGTTATTATGAAATTACTTTTCTTTGGTTAGATGGATGGTTGGATGGAGTGCATCCCAGTGGTTGTCAAATCCAGTTGGGACTAATTAGCTATACTCGAAGCATTTGTTGATATTTTATGATTATATATGCAGCTATACCCTCAAAAGGCGATTTTCACTTGAGCTTATATGAGAAACTTTTAACCTCAAGGGCTTGGACTTAGCTGGTTTCGAACCGGCGAACCTGGGACTAGTTTGTCACCATGGGCCGTTTATGTAAACTTGGTAGTAAAATTAGAATATTACATCATAAATTAGTAAGAACTAATACAAAAATCTCTATAGAGCTCTATAGAAATTACTTCAAATATTGCACTATAATTTATATATAATATAATTTGTCAAAAAAATGAAGTGTGAACAGATCAATCGGAAATTATTTCTATAACTACATAATTACTCAAATCCGAGAATTGCAATTTTCTTTAAATAGATCTTTTCTTATTTTAAAGATCAAAACTGAAAAGGTCATAAAATCTATTGATTGCTAGATTGATTGACTGATTGAGTTATTAAAAGCTAACATGTTTTAATCCATCGTATCATATCTATTATCGATACCGTTTTTAACTTACCTAATAATGAAATAACACCACATATAGCCCACACCAAAAGGCAGAATCCTACAGATCCTGAGTGCGCCAATGCTGATGAAGGTGAAACAAAAACACCTGAACCTATCATCACCCCGACGATCATACTGATCGCAGAAAATAGGCCCAGCTCACGACGTAACCGTACGTCGCCATTGCTGGCCGTAATTACTGCAAAAAATAAACAAATGTGAAAAAATCAATATAGAAGGCACTATTAATATATATTCAAAGTAATGATGCAGCTGAAGATGAGATCAACCCATTATATGAAGTGAGAAAAGAACGGTAAATATTAAAATAAATGAATGAAGAAGAGAAGAAAAAATACAGGAAACTGAAAACCCAGTACAGGACCAGGAAGCATGAAATCCGATGTTTGGAAAACAAAATGTATGAAAGTGTATAAAAAGTGAATAATGGTAATGGAACAAAAACGCGCCTAATAAAGAAGGAAGGAAAATCGATGATTTGTGGACTTGATTTTGGGTATTATTAATATTACATCCAATTTATTATAAGCACAATATTTGTAAATACCTTGGCTCGTCATCTTGGATATAAATTTTCTTTTCTTCGGTGTTTACCCATCAACCTGTAATTGAAGTATAATAAATTATTTTTATAACATAGAAAACGATAATAATGCTCTTACGTAAAGAGAGTAATTTTTAATTTAGACTAAACACGCGATTAAAAAACGTTATGTGCATTTTTATACGATGGCTTTGATACTTCATGTTTTAATGTCTGATTTACCTAAAATGCTAAACTATTAAATAATTTTGGTAATATGAGCATTTTGGTAATTCGTAATTATAGTCGGTAATAAATAATAAAAAATTTGAATGTTATATAGCTTTTCGAAAGGATCTGCAATCATCTCAATATATATGATGAAAGATATAAGCAAATCCAGCAGTTTCACGTATACCTGAAGGGTTCGACAAAATCCATTACATTACATGCTATTAGTAAATTAAAAATTACTTATAGATCACTTAGCTTTTACTAACTACCATGTTATCCAGTCATTCCTGAAAATAACTACATCCAATTTATATTGATTGAATCAGAAAACATAGGCACGTTAAGTCGTGCGTGAACGAGTATTTTTTGCATCAGTATCATTTACAATAATGAAGCAATTTAACAGATCACTAATCTCATTTAACTCTGGCTTAGAGAATATTTTATTTTTAGAAACAAAGAGTAATTATTAATGACGACAAATTCACATTGACAAATAGGTAAAGATAATTTTTGCTAATTGTAGGTTTGTAAATATTTCCGTATGCTGGCCGTCACACATGATTAAATAGTGCTCGAAATAGATTCTAATCTCTTTTTTGGCATTTATTAACAGTTATTTACATTTCATAATTTGAATGTTTGCGAATTTTGTCACAAATAGTATATATTTCATAAAGTGGGCTCGTTCATAAGTAAGTGGCTAGAATGACCGAACGTGAACCAGAGATACCGGGTTCGATCCTGCTTCGAGCAGGCTGTTGTCAAGCAATAGTGACAACAGTTTTCACTTGGAAATATAAATAGCAATATGTTTGCAAGTGAAAATAACCCTTATCCAGCGTTGATGCATCAATAAATATTCGCCATATTACAAAAATTGTAATAATACTTCATCACACAGAGATGGAAAAACTGATTAGGTTACCATATGTAGAACCGTCTAGTAAAGTCAAATCAGCCCAAATTTATACGACTCTTAAGTTCTGATTGCTGCTCAAAATTAAAAAAAACAAATCATAGTGTTGTATTATTGCTTCAAGATCCTAATGATTTATAGACTACTATAGACAAAATCTCTTGTTGTAACGTTTTTATAAAAAAATTATTCAGTGGAGAAAATATTAAAAATTATTTACTCAGTAATGAGTATTACCTTTATGATATTTTGATAAAGCAATATATTCTCATTGCAATTGTTGAAATAATAGTTACCTTACGCTCATAAATTTTCTGTAATATCCAGCAATATTTAAAATATAGCTATTTTTTTGAGTCCGATTCTCACTAATTAATTCATTTTACCTAGTCATTGTTAAAATATGGTTCTAATATAAAGGTAAGTTGCAAATAATATTTTCTGATCGTACATTAAAGAACTTGGCACATGATTAAAGAAAATAATACATGTTCTCATTTACGAATGCAGTGAATTAAAGACAGAAACATTTTAGAGGTCCAAAGCTCGGTTTTTCTGTAGTAGTTAATTAATCAATTTAAAGTAGAGTTTAAAAAATAATCTGAACTTGGATAAAAAATACATATTTTGCTTATATGTTCGTAATAGCGGTCGTTGTACCTATTTCGAAGTCTATTTCGAGACTGTTTCGAAAATACGTTGTGTGTCACTTGCAGTTTATTGACTGCGCTCTAATAAAATTTTAAACAAAGCCAGCAAGAATGACTTGCATCGGGTAATAATAGGAAAATAAATAAATAAGTACTAAAAAAATTGTGCATATTTTGAATCTAAACCATTTTTCACAAATTTGATAAATTTAGATTAAAACTTCAAGATTTCCACGATTGTACTTTATTCAAGAGAACTATTCAAATTAATGGTTTCTTTGTATTTCAAATATAGTGATATTATTATTTTTTTCATTAATTAATTTTATGTATCATTAACTATGTGCGCATAATAATTATTTATAAGCAATCGACGTCACACAAAGTCAATATAAATTTTAAAACTAATTTAATGCTTTCAATTCAATGAAATTGTTGTGATAGTGACTTACGCGTTAATATATATTAGTAGTTCTACACTACGAGATTCTAATAAGAAGTGCGTCATTTTCACGAAACGTAAAACCAAGTATCGCATGATTTATTTTAGAGCCATAGTAATTCAGAATGATTTAAGATCAGTCATATAATTATTAATATTTAATAATAATAATAATATAGATTTAAATTATATCTACACAATTAATTCTAGATATTAAGGAGCGTTTTAAGGAGTTTTGTAATTCCTCCCCCTTGGTGATACGTGGCGATATTCAAAATTATTTATACTAAAATAAAAAATTAATTATATGAATTAATGAAATCAACAAAAATGAAATAATATTTAATATTCATTAAATATTTTTTTATAGCACCGTTACTTAGGCTTATAGTTGGTATAAGAAAGCGTTAATATTAAGCCTGGCGCCATAAACATGAATGAAAATTCATTTACACTGTTATTTTGTATACAGTTATTATTAAATTAAAACGAGTCAAATTAGGGTTCATTATCACTTGACAAATATGTTGAAAAATTGATTTAAGTAATATATTTTTGTAAATATACAAGGAAGGATACGGGAAAGTATAAGTAAACTTGGAATCCCTCAATAGTTAACAACACTTTTCAATTATGAGCAAGTAAATAGACACATGGATATGTGTACATGAAAATCAATTGTCAAACTAATCAACTAATTCAACATCAAACGAAAAATTAATTTACAAATATCTTTTTTTATATATATTACAGACAATACCAATATATTTTACATATATACCAATATATAAGGTTAGTCATGATACAAAAAACAATAAATACAATTTTTAAGTTCTTACCTTATATTCATTTTTAATTCTTCAAATTATTTATAAAATTATATTCTAACGTTATTAAAATATTGGTAAAGTAATGATTTTCAATCAAACGCATATTTTTCAAAAATAATGTACCGATCCTTCTACTAGGAATCATCGGTGCATTTCAAATATTTGAAATATAGAATTATATAAAATTAAAATAAAATATAGAACTAAGTATTGAAATATTGGAAATATGAAAAATAGCAAAACAAATAATAGCAAAAGTTTGAAAAGATGTCAAGCATATAATCCAAAATCCAATATATAAACGATTAGCAATTAAGAAATGAAGAAATAAGTAGAATTACATTATAATTATTATATTTAATATTCTGAAAGAATGTTATCAAATTTTATGAAAATATGAAATTATGTATATTAATTTGTAGTAATTCTTCATATCTTATTCATTAAAAATGTAATAAAGACATATCCCAAGAACTCTTACTTATATAAGAATATGTATTTCCTATTTAAGCATTTTCATAAATAAATTAATAAATCTAAAATTGGTCCTATCCGCATGTATTATAAAAGTAGAATTAAATTATTCAAATCCAATTGATTTAGATCTATTTAACAATGATCTCGGTTCCATTCCCATCTCTAACAATACATTTTGGGAGTTTGCTTAGATCAGTCTCCGGAGTTATTTAAATTAGTGTTAATTTATTTGATACCGTCACAATGTTTGCGTCTTTGAGAATCGATTGAGACGATGTACTTGTTTGAATATAAATCATTTTTTCAATGGCAAAAAAATTATTAGAAATATGTCATCTCTGTGATAATCGAATCGAAAACATAGCGCTGTAAGATGAAATTTAATAAAAGATAAGATTTTACAAGTAAATAAGAAGATATCGCATCAGGTAAATTAAATGGTGGTAATTTATCATGCTAATTTTTTAAAAGGCTTAACAGACCAAGGTCAATTTTGACTTCCTAAAGGAGAAGTGTTGAAATTTGGCCAGAAAATCCGATCAAGTCATTCTCAATCATTTGATATCAAAATTGGCAAAAGTATGTGAGTGTGCATGTGAGACAAATTTGAGGATTTTCTCACAAACAACTGCACCTATTTCTATAATTCAAAATTCATTTGATGAAACTCGATAAGACCTTGATTAGTTTTGTGTGACAATCGGCCCAGCCGTTTCTTCATAATTAGAAAACCAATGCAAAATCTTTTGTTAACGTATCAAATGTCCTGAACTGCTTTTGGAAATTCGAACTTTTCGAAAGATAGCAATTGGGAATAATGATGATAAGTTTTTAGTAAAGATTAAATTAAGATTGATTATAAAGATTATTGGTTCAAATATTTTTGGCAATTTTGATGAAACTTTCCATTATAAATTTTAAATATTTCTATCGTGGTCTCAAGCATCCCAATATGTATACTACGAAAAGTAATTTAATTATAAAAATTCATTAAAGTTTGAAACAATGAGTTCATAGGACATATAAAGTCTACAAATTGGAAATGACATTGATTATTTTTTTAATAAAAGGTGAAATCTATATTTTCAAAATAAAGAGTTAAAAACTATACAAGCTTCAAAGTAGCTAAATATAAATTATTATATAATAAATTTATACATAATTTATATGAGTAGATACTCATAGTTTATGCAACTTGCCTTGAAACAAAATGCCACTTACAACTAGTTAATAATAAATATAAACAGTATAACCAATAGAAATAGTTGATATAAGTAATTTTCTAAGAAATAAGAAAAATAGTTACTATCCTTGTGAATCATTCGAAGTTCTGATATACTGACTGCATATATTTAATAAATTGATAAGCACTTCCTGATGATACTTATATAAAACGTCTGTATCAGTTTTTAATGTCTGATTTGATGGAAAATTTCGTTTATTATTGCAGAAAAGTTCTTCAAATGAAATTATTATCTATTACAGACGCTATCGATCGGTAAATACATTGTCGACCGATACCAGTTTAAATTTATCTATACACTCGATGATGAATTGATATCTCAAAATTGATAATTTGTTTCAATTTCTTTAAATAATTTGTAACAGAAAGCGATAACACTAAATATAAACGATAATGAGAATTATGTACAGGAATTTGTACAGCATGAAATAGAATAAATACTTGAAGTACTATACATTACATTTGGAGTGGTTTATGTTATTTTAATTAAAGTACATTTATGGTAAATTTAATAAAATATATTTCATGATATATAGCTAATTTACGTGCCTAATAATTTTGCTAAATCATTTAAATTTTAATAAAATAATGATAGATGCACCTAACTTCATTTTCAGAAAATTGTCTTCGTTCATCTATTAATAATCATGTTTATTCACAGTTTGGGACATTAAAATAGAACAGGCCTCGTAAACCTTAATTTACGATAAAATCTAAATTGTTAAAAATACTCTAAAAACCATAAAATTAGTATCATAAAAATTTAGTTCAAAATAAAATTAATTTGAAGAATAAATATTACTTATTTTAAGGCCAAAATCCTGCTATTAATCCCATTTGTTTACAAATACACACTCAATTAGATATATGATATTTTATTAAACATGATAAAATGATATTTTATTAAACAAGTTTTCTTAAAAACATATGTATGTTTTCATTCTTAATTCTGAAATAATTCTTGGTGTTAATTATGACTGCACAATTTAATTTATTGAAATTGAAATGCAACTGGGTAATTTTGCAGAACTTTAATTTACATATAGCATCAAAATAACTATTGTTTTATTAAGACAGCTTGTAATTTAATAAAAAAAATAAAAACAAATAGTTATTTACTTAAATAAGTTATATAAAATATAACAAAACTCAACAAATAAAAGATTTTTTTCCAATTGTAAAAAACAATAATAAAAGAGGTAATTATCTTGAAGAATGATGAAGAATGATGGCAATTTCTAAAATAAGTATTTAACATCTTTAAATAAAATTTGTCTTTTCGATCTTGAATCAGGATCAGATTTATCCCATCTGGGTAATAACAGAGTCGTGAACGCCTACAAATTAGTTATTTTTATAATTTTCCAATTCTGGCTTTTGATACATTATGCGTATTTTGTTTACAAACAAAGATCAATTTTCTCAGAATTCAGAAGAAATATTTGGTTAAATACAGATTGCAGATAATGATTAATCATTGTTTGATCATTTACTGGATATTAGTGAAATTATCAATTCCAAAGCAAATATTGTACTAGTACAGATATTGTACGACTGTTTAAGATAATTATCAGATGAAACCCTTTGCATGAAAACTTTCCACTTGATAAGCTTTATTTGCAGATTAATTACAAATTATTGTACATAAATAACATGACTAATATATAGTTAGTCATGATACAAAGTTCGCATAAATATAACAGATAATTATATGTAAAAAATATTACAAACGATCTATTAAATATTCAGGTTTCTTCAAGCATTTTGGATTTTATCATATGTTCAATCCATTTTATTTAGACGTACAAACAAAACCTATATATTTATCATAAATTGAAAATTATGTTAATAAATAATAAAAATAATTTTAATCCCGAAAGAAATGATTATTATAAATTATCGAAGGCAATTTGCTGAATTGCAGCTGGACATCATATACAAATGTGCAATCGTTCTAAGTTCAAGGTTTATCTACAAAAGGCAGAGCTTGCCAATGTTTATAATGAATTTATCAAACATATATGAATCCATTAAAATGCAAATATTTTATTCATAAAAAATTAAAATTTTAATACGTAAGCCATGACTAAAACATTGCTTTTGATCACCTACTACGAATGTTGATAATTTATTTATAATTTGCAATAGAAATGCAATGTGTCATAAAAGTTTCTGAGTAAATTAAACACGACATACACAAGTAGTATTTCTAATAATAATAGATTTGTTTTATTATTTATATTATTATAAATTATAATAATAAAATGTTATTCATCTCTGATGGCACGAATCAATTGTAAATAATCCGTGACGATATGATGTATTTGTATAATGGGTAAAACGCGATTATCAATAATCCAAAACTGTTACGAAACATTATTTGTTTAAAAATTATATTTTTTTATTCAATGGAAAACGTGACAATTTAGAAAATTAGAACATTTTCAAATGATGCTTTAATAAATAAGTAATAATGAACCATTATATTAGATATTTAATTTATGCATATTTTCTAGTCATTATTATTAAAATAATAATACATGTATATATAAAAAATTACAAACGTAATATATATATATATATATATATATATATATATTATATGTTTGTAATTTTTCATATATATTTATATATATTTTTATTTTTATACATAATTATTCTTATAGCAGAGAAAAGCTTGTAGAATTATATTTAGTTTTGATTGCTTTCTACCAAATAAATTAAAAATATATATATAGATTAAAAAGGTTATGACTATTTGTTTCTTTTAATAGAATATACTGTGATTATTTATGCAAAATTTCAAATTGTAAACAATAAAAATTATATATTATAAATTTCTCATTATGGCATTGAACACACAAAAATTTAAAATATTTTAATTTTCTTTGGAATGGTGTTAAATTTTTCTGCATGATTTTGTAATAATAATAACGAATATTTCTTATTTTAATAGAAATATTTTAATATTCTAAAGAATATTAATAAAATATTTAACTTGCTGAAGAGAGAATGAATTTATTGTAAATATTTAAGGTCATTTTCACTATTAAATATTCATATTCTTCTTAAACAAAATATTACAAAAATGATTATTAAAAAAACGTTTTCTTCTTAAACAAAATATTACAGATGATAAACTTAAGGGAAAAAAATCTGTTAAGAAAATTTTAGAGCTTTTCGCAAAAGCAAAGGAAGTCAGAAATAGAAATTTTCAGTATTTACTAAAATAAACAGTTCAAACAATTCAAAGGTAAAGAGTGAATTCGTTAAATTATCAATTGATTTTAAAATTGTGTAAAAGAATAAAAAAGGTTGTTTTTAATAGTTTCTAAAAAAAGGGGACATAATACATCCCCTAAATGTATTAAAATTCATGAATATATCTATAAAAAAAGTAAAAATAAATATATTCTGGAAGAAAACTATGTACTGTAGTTCATAAAATTCAAACTCCATAATGTATGTATATAACTACGTTTAAATAACACAAAACATTTTGCGCAATATTTTTGTTATTTATTTTTTATATTTTTCTAAATATACTTACTTTTAATTATCTCCTTAATTTCAGACGACAATATTTGTTCTAAACTGAAAACACCTTCACAAAAACAAGCACAAATATTACGACTTACTACGATTCACACGTGCACTAGTCTTATCGGTAATAATTTAATGGAAAACACCAATTAAAAATTTTCATTCTAACAAAAACTAAATTGATATTAATTAATGTTAAAGTAGTCATAAAGTTGAAGATAATATTTTAATAAATTTATTATGGATGAATGGATTTTATGAAATGAGGAAATGACTTGCCAACACAACGATCTTTATATTACTGATGTGAAAATATAATATCGCACAGTGGAACACGCTGGACTTGCACGTGAACCAGAATAGTAGCCAACGATTTGTGAGTAATCAATGATGACACTATAACTTCGTCTTCGTCATGTTACTTCGAGAATATGGGATTAATGAAAGAAACTAGTGGAATAAGGCATAGTGCCTTATGGCAAATTGCTTGAACTTCCCGTACCAAAAATTATTTTTTTTAAAAAAGATTAAATTTGTTTTAAACTTTGAAAAAAATAGATTTTTGATGAATTTTAAATTTTTGAGATAAAAAGACTTATTTGGGAAAACATGTTTTTCTTTATTTTGAAATATTTTGGAAATTTTGAACTTTTTTCAAAGCAATCGCGCTGCTTTAGCAATATCGAAGCGCGTATGCGCCGCGTTGCCGTCTAACGAGCAAACGATGTGACGAAACCCATAAAAATGTAAACAAAATTGATACACATTATTAAAATCTCCATAAAATATCTGCTAATTTGATGTGCGTTCGTCTAATGATCATTCTTGACCTCACAATGGCATTTGAGACCTGCCTTCCCAAAAATTCAATCATTTCTTCATCTTGTCAATACAAGTAAAATGTTTTTTGAATTACTAAAATCAGACGCTCCGTTCTCTTAAAAACTGGGTTACCGTTTTTGGTACTTTTGCCCTGCATCTTTGAAACGGCTAGACCTGCTTATGCCAAAAACTAATCAGCACGTATTCTTATCAACAGCAATCGAATGTTTTTTGAATAACTGAAATCGGTTGAACCGTGTTCCCGAAATTGTCAACGAAAATTTGTATCCTCACACACACACACTGTGTAATACATCAATTTTTTCTAAGGTATGCGAAAATTTTCAGAAACCTCTGAAACGTAAAGATATATAAAAAATTTCATTTTTGATTTTTTTGCGATTACTATAAATTACCCTACGGGAAGTTAATAATATTTTCTTACTGCTTAATTTCATTTCAATTAATCCGATTGCTATACTCAAAATATAAAATATTTTATAATCTATCAGTATCTAGTTGAACTCAAAAAAATGGAGTATGTAAAATAAGACTTAATTAGTTCACTCTTCAATAAGAGCTTTAATTTATTTATTTTTATCAATCAATATCAAATTAATAAATGATTTATAGAAAATACATATAGAAACATTATATAATGTGGGAATATTTTGATCTTAAGGTTTTGGTAATAAAACCATTAATTTATAAACTTTATTTTCAATTTTGAATCTGATTGGAGTCCTACATACTAATCTGCTCCCATAAGGTCTAATTTCCAACTTGGAATCTAATTGGATGCTACTAGCACCTATCTATATATACAAAAATATATATTTAAAAAATAAATCTACAGTATATATTATATGATTATCACCGCGTTATTAAATACTGTTAAGAAATTTAAAATATTTTATTTTATTAAATAATATTTTTTCATGTTTTTGACAATATTGAATATTCAAATATATATTTGCTGCAAAAAAAAACTTTCTTTAGATTTTTTTAAACCTATATACATTTGTATATGTATTACTAAAATATATATCAGCTTGTATGTTAAATAAGCAGATAGAATTCGTTCATAATGAATCAAAATCTGATAGAAATGCTTGCGTATAATTGTATTAATTGTATTTATATCCCAAATCTTTCTAAAGGATAGGATGCTCAGTTCGTTTTTTAATATGATGATATTTCAGTAAAACAATCTTAATTGCATTATACAGGAATTTTCTGTTCTCGGGACACACCATAAAAAGATTTAAAATTATAATAAGAATATTAATTGCAATTGAATTGATATTTCTATCGGTATATAAATATTTGAAGTTTATCCATATTTATGTATATATATATATATATATATATATATATATATATATATATATAAATTTCATTGTGACTTTCATTGTTTTAGAAATCCGTCGATAATGTGCTTAGTTGTTAAATTAAGCCATAATATTCCAAATATTGCAAATATCCATAATATTATTCTAATTATATAAATATCAATTAACAAAACATACTGAATTATGCTTTAAAATAGTTTTTCTCTAAGCTAACTACAATCACCACCTAATATGGTAAAACTTACCGAGCTGAAGTCTACTTCGTATATGTTTTGTTCTAAAAATGATGACAAAATTACATTGAAACTCAAGATCTAACATTTTTATAATAATTTATTTAAATGTTGTTATAAAAGTCTATAAAATGTATTAAACATACAAAAACACTGTTATGAATTATTACACAAATATACTATGAATGTTTTTATGAAACATGAAACATTTGTCAAAATAACTTATTATTTACAATTATCAATAGCATTATCTACTATATAAAATGTTATAAAATTATTCAGATATCTATTATAGAGTTAGATTAGACTTTTTAATCACAGTAGTTCTTAACTTGCGTTAATTATATTTAGTAACATTTAATAACATAAGGAAGGATTAGAAAGTTACTTACTAAAAGAGATTCTACATGCCCCTTTATTTAAATTTAAATACTAGGCTAATATAATATAATTTTTAATAAATATATTTGCAAATAAATATATTTCTTGAATACTATAAGGCCCCAATGATTGAAAATCATTAACAACTTAAAATACATATACTATTATAGATTTCTTCTATAAAACTATATTTTTAAGGCTATTTCATATATTTTTTTATGAATTTGTAGTTATTTCAAGATAGAATTCTGAATCAGTTTTTTATAGGAGTACTAGTATACATTGTGCACTGTTGTACTTCATCTTCAAATTGTTTTAATGTATTATTAATTTCTTTATTACATTTTTCACAGGTTTCTTTGGTATTTCTGTATTAAATATAAACAAATTATTTGGTTGAATGTAAAAATATAAATATAAGTAAAAAATATAAGTTTACTTACTTCAGAATTACATGTTTCTGTGCGTTTTTTGAGTATTCTCTGCTTAAGCGATTTTTCAAATCGGCTATCATTGCATCACGTTTAGCTAATTCTGCTCGAAGATTCATAATAGTCTCTTCTTGGGCTTCAAAGAGTGCCTATCAATTCAGTTCATACAAAGTATTTATTTAATGTGATTAATATTATATTCAAATTCATTTTTAAGTACATACTCTACTATCTTCCAAGCATTCTGAGAATACAGGAGGATCATTCAGACAAAAGAAATCTTTAACAGGAGCGCTTTCAAGTAGAATATGATGAGAAAGCACGCTGTTAACAAATTCTTGCAACCCTGTAATGAATATAATATACATTAAGTTTATAACTCTTATTGTGCATTATATGCATCATTAATTTCTGAATAGTTATACCTTGAACTCTATCTTGAAGAAACTTTGGATGAAAATTGTCTCCAAACCACTTCTTCTTAGGCAAATGTAATAAAATATCAGGATAATCAGTCTTCAATCGACAATGAAGTCTCACAAAGTCAGTATATCTACGAAGTAGTAACCAGCTTTCACCTGGTATATTAGTCATCAGTCGCAATTTATAAACCTAAAAGTAAATAGTAAAACAATTACAGATCATAAAAGATATATGCAATTGTCAAAATCGACTATTCTTTTGAACTACTACTATTTATACAAAATTATAGATACTTACAGTAAATCGAGCTCTTTCTTCCATAACTTCATATCCAATAATTGGAACTCTTAAACAAGTCAAATCCACTTCTTTGTTAAATCTTTTACTTATATCGCAAAAATTAATAGTTCCTAAAGTAACTTCTGAAACAACTGTTGTGTTGCAAGAACTACTAGACTGGGATGAAAGTCTACGCTTATCATTAATATCATTATATGAGTCTTCTATGTTTGCTAAAACTATTCCAGAATTGTTTGTACTAGAACTTGGGGATGGTTTTTCTTTATATTCTTCAGAATTTTCTTTATTATTTGAATTTGTGGGATTATCTATGATGGCTGTTTCGTTATTAGATTTGTCATTATTACTTCTTAGCATTGTATTATTACATTCTGGTTCGGTTATATTTATTTGAGATACAGTTTTTGCTTTTGAGCTGGTATTAACAAATCTATCATTTACTAAACTAGATAGAGAATTTGATTTGAATAAATTTTTAGTTTGGTTTTGGCTTTGGTGCAGAGAATTCTTTATGGTTTGCTCTATTAGGAAGATCGCCCCCCCTGAATGTCTTTTATATTTAGATTCATGTAAGTTTGATTTACTTCTGACATTTATATGATCACGTAGATTTCTTTTAGTTACGGTGAACTTATTTTCACTTTCATTATTTGCCTGTGATGAACTAGGTGAGAGTTTAGTTTCTTGAGTACTTTCCATTGTTTTCAACCTTATGTTGTAAATTATCAAAGCAAATTAAAAATTATGTCAGCATGGACTATGATTTAATAAAATTATATATTAAAATTAGTAAATTTCACTAAATTTTACATATTATCTTTTAAGAATTTATTATAACATTATTAATTTATTGTAGAATGACATGAGAAATAAAAACAAACGTCAAAAACAGTTATGTTGTCACGCCTGAGGAAATTGAAAGATTATTATTCCTTTCACGTGCAGTAGTGTTGCCATGTCTTGCTATATAAATCATAAAATATTATCCATATTATCCATTATTATTATATTGTCAAGGATAATATCAGATGATATCCCGGCTTATTCGTTTCAATGTTGATTTTGTTAACATGAAAACTCTAGACAATATTAGAATACCATGTGTTCATAACAAACCCTAGACAATATTAGAATACCATGTGTTCATGATGTAAACCTTAGATAATAATAGAATATAAAAATTAATATTCGTGGTGCAATGCATTTCTATCAGTTTTTTAGTGAAAGGATAAAGTTTGAATTAAAACAAAAATATGTAATATTTTTTATATTATAAATAATATAATTTACATGAAGATAATGAAGAAAGTCATATAACAAGGTATAGCTATATTTTTTTTACAATATAAATTAATGTCAGATTTATTTTAATATTGTTGCAAAATCTACATATAAAAATATATGTAATCGTTATTTTTTTTATTAAAAAAACATTTATATATAATGATTTATTCTAATATTCATATCTCAAAGCGATAAGTCAGGTCTAGTTATAATTTTAGTAAACATCATAAAAAATTTATATGTGAAGAACTTTAATGAAAAAATATATCTAGATAATGATTTCTATTCAAATACATATACTGCATGTGATTATAATTTAATATAATTACTTCTTCATTCATTACAACATTCATTCAATGAATCATTCATTCATTCAATCAATAATCAACAGAAACGCATACACCAGTTTTCAATTATCTCAAAATATATCTATACATGTAATTTGAAATAGCTTCTGTTGTCAATTTGATTTGTAATATAATTAATATCTTACAACAAAAGAATAAATTATTTTAATATATGTCTGCAATGATAATTCATTAAATATAAGTTCCATCAAACAAAACTACTATTATGTTGATCTAAGTAAATAGCTCGCTTTAATATATTTTCTGTATTTGAGCTCCTCAAACGTTCTTGGGGAGTTTTCAATTGACCTTCAGATGAAACTGTCTGTAAATTTTGACCCCAGTTAGACGGTTTCATTGGTAGTACTTTTGGTTTTGGAGGCAAAGGGGGTGGATCGGAGGCACTTTTTAATTTATCACTATCACTACTAGAATTACTTTGAAAACTACAATTTAAAATATCATTCGCAAATCCTTCATTAGTACTAATTTGATTCTGATTGACATAATCTTTAATCATTTTTTGATCTTCAAAATGATTTTTGTTTTTATTATCTGCATACACAAAACTTTTATCAGGATTGTTGGCAGGTTTTACTGGTGATCTTGGAAAATTGTTATTTAACATGAATGAACTAGAAGAAATGTGGCCTGCACTTGAGCATTTTTCAAGAGCATTTATTTTGATTTGAACTTGTGATTCGCTTGTTCTTCTATCTTCAAGCTTACTTGGCAAATTCTGAACTCTACCTATAGATAACCTAGGTGCAGGATTAGGCTTGTGTCCAGGAGATAATCTAATGCTGGGAGTGGGAACATCATTTGGATTTTTGCATTTAGACGTGTCAGGATTATCGGCACTCGTTACATTTGATTCGGCGCCGTCGTTATCTGTGTTTAAAATTTTTCGTAGTTTTGAACAGGATTGCAAATTATCTCCATCCTTCAAAAAATCAGGCAACTCGAAATTTATTTCAGTTCCTCTTTGATCCTCTAGACGCGCCCTCTGTGCTCTGTTTAGTCCTTCTAGAAGTTCTAAAAATTCACAAATTATTAGTATCATATATTATTTTTATAAAATAAATTACACAAGCTTTATATTTACCATCACTTTCTGATTGTCTTCCAGTAACTTGTAATTTAGCACCTGGTTTCCATTTGGCTATGAGAGGTTTCCGAGATTCCGTAGCTTGTTCATCTGGAAGTGGCACTTTGTTAGTTTTTGATGTAAATTGGTTATATTTCTTAGAAAGCCCATTAGCCATTTTAGAAGGCATATTAGAATCCCTTCTTAGAAACCGACTGAATATTCCAGATGAAGTTTCCGATCCACAATCTTCAGACTGTTAGAAAACAAGTCAAATAAGTTACAAGATATTTGGTGAAATAAATTTAAAAATGAATGTAATAAAATTATTTTTACTTTTATTGAATGCTGGTCTAAAGATTTGACTTTGAGATTCTGTGCTTCAGATTTGCCTTGAAGTAACTCTTCGAAAACTCGATTGGTAATTTCATTGAGAGAGGCACCTTCAGCAAACGTTTCTTGGGGTTTTGTATTCATACTCATTTCTAACTTTAATCTTGCTGCAGAACTTCCCAAAATGCCTGCTGTACTTATCTGTGTTACTTCACCGATCCAACCTTAAAAATTAATATATTCATAATTAAAAAATTATGATCAATTCTTTAGTAATTTGATGGCTGTATAAATACCTTCCGGTCTGCATTGGACAAGAAGTCTCTGGCCATCTGCCACTAACACTGATTTTGACATATCAAGACTTTCAGTTGCTTCAGCTTTTAAAAACACCTGTAAATACAAGATAAAAATTAATTAATAAGCTATATGATTTTACATTTTATTTACATATTCAAAGCTACCAACTAGAATCCAATTAACCAATTCGTGCATTTTAAAAAAGTTATTTTTTTCCAAATGGATATAGTATAATATATTTACCTGAACAAGATCGAGTTTGTAATTGTATTTGTGCAAAATTGGCCTTAAAACTTCGCCTAACGTTTTCGTTATCTTGCTCTTCACAGAAATGACTTTTTTATTCGGTAAATCCAATTTGAAAACTACTCTTTGTTCTACAACAACAACTTTGCCAGCTAAAATTCTCGATGAATCTATCACATTTATTGGCTGTAAATAAGAAAAAATATTTGTTTAGAAATAAATAAATATTAAAAATAATTTTAAATATAATTTAATGACATGCATAGATTTTGAAGCTTTTATGAGAAAGAAGCGTTGTTTAATAAAATAAATCGTTCATTGCAAATTATTTTACAACGGTGCAAATGGTGCAAGTGAATGTACCTTATTAGTTCCAGAAATATGAACTTCATAGGCTCTATATCGTATGCCACGTTTTTCCAATAATCTATCAATGAGTTGTCTAACAGAATCATTTGGTTGTGTTTGAAGTAAAGCAGTCGATTCATCCGATAAAACAACGCGACATAAAGTACTTCTGTTAGGCATCGCATCTGGTATCTGGGTGTCATCGAAAGGACTCTCCAGCTGCAGATTTAATAAAATTTGCTTAATATTGTAGTTAAAATAAAGTAATGTATTTTTGAAAGTATTTTATGCAAATAAGATGAGATTAAAACTAAGCCTTAAGGGTTATTTTATAAATTTTTAATTAATGTAATCAGTTCCATCCGCAGAAGATTTGAATGTTGAAGATGAATTTACTAGCATGATATGAAAACTGATTAAGATTTGAGAAAAAAAAAAGTTCTTCTAAGTATATGATATAATGTTATAAAAAATTCTTTTAAATATAACGTATTCGACAACAGTGTATTTTATCTATATTTAAGCCGTTCCTTTAGTCCAGTCATTTGGTGCAAAAAAGGCTGTTGCCGGTACAGTCCTCCGGGAATTCTGAAAATTGGTAATCTTATGGATTTCGAGGTGCTCTTTACGAAAATCAACTTTTCCACCTCAAATTTGAACGTCAAGTTGCCGCTATATTGGAAAAATAGCGTCAAACAACAGCTTTTTTAAATATCTCCTTTCTGGCTGATTCTACGATAAAAGTATCTATGCACGAATTAAACTAGATAAAATTTCCTACAATTCTTCAAAAAACCGTTTTTTTGTAAAATTGATATTTCACATTTCACACACTTCAATGGCAAAGTAGCTATAAGTAAGTAGCTTGAAGTGTTAAAAAAATCAGCAAAAAAAACAGAAAAATATTTGAATTATTTTATTTCTAGATCTTATTCGCTTAATTTAACATTGAAAATATTTATTTATTAGAAAGAATGTGGTCAAGTTCAAAGTGCTGTCATATATAGAGAGATTTGATACTACGGCGAGAGCAGCAATGACTTTGAGGCGGCCGTACTCTCAAAATATCAATTTTACAAAAAAACGGTTTTCTAAAGGATTATAGGAAATTTTATCTAGTTTAATTCGTAGAATAATACTTTTATCGTAGAATAATCCAAAAAGTAGATATTTTAAAAAAGCTGTTTTTTGACGCCATTTTTTCAATATGGCGGCAACTTACCGTTCATATTAGAGGTGGCAAAGTTGATTTTCGTAAAGAGCACCTGGAAATCTATAAGATTACCAATTTTCAGAATTCCCGGAGTACTGTACCGGCAAAACGACCAAATGACTTGACTACTTGGTTAAAATGAAAATTGGTAAAATTGTATGGAACCTATAATTTCACTAATTTAAGTTCGTAAATGACCTAAATATCGAACTGTGGACCTTATTCAATGAATGCCATGAAAAATTAGAAAAAATAAGAAAAAGAAGAATTTCTAATACATTTTTTCCAAAAAGAAACGCAAATAAAAATTTCCTCAATTTTCAAATACAAAGTTTTTAATAATAATATTGCTTGATTAATCAAGTGAAAATTCGTAAAATTATTTTTAGGTGGGTTATATGAAAATTTTGGTAGTCAAATAACGTTTTCGACATGTTTCTCTATATTATTCCTTTTATTGGCAAAAATAAAGCCTGTTAATAATGTATAGTACCTCCAACTTTACTATTTCCTATGCCAAAATGTGAGACCTTATTCAATAAATGGTAAAAAACATTACCATTTCAATAGAAAAATTTGCCAAAAAGAGACGTTTATTAGAATTTCTTTATTTTTCAAATTATTGTTCAATTAATTAATTTTGTTAGAACAATGTTGAAATTTATAAAATTACTTTTGGTAAAATATATCAAAATTTTTGCCTGGATTTCTGAATCTTTATTTTAAAAATGACAAATTTATTGACAACTATGTAGTTTTAAGTAAAATTTATTCATTATTATTATTCTTATTTAGCTTTTTATTGATTTAGCTCTTTTTTGCTTAATTTTCAATATCTCACTTTTAACTTATAGATTACGTATTATAATCTGATTATTGAAATTAAAAGAAATAAATAAATAAAATTCAATACCTGTTTATTAAGAGCAGCGTCCCAACTAGCTAATGATCCCACCGAACTATGCACCTCCGCGTTGCTCGCAGACAAAGCGCTTTGTTTGGCGAGCGCGCTACCCTGACCTCCTTTGTAGTTTTGCTCGCCGCGATCCTTGGATTTACATCTCGTTTTGCGATGCCATGGCATTAAACTTTTACGACGACGATCTTCAGCATTAGAAAGCGATTTCTTTAACTGCAATAAAATGAAATATTACAAAGATTGATCGTGGCAATAAATTTTAACTCACAATTAATTCATATAAGAAACAATGTAAAGTTTACATTACCTTTGATGGAGTTTGTTGCGCAGAACTAATTCTTAATTTTTCATCAGTCTTATTATCAATGGGAAATGGAAGCCTCTTGTGTGATGCCTCGGCGGCCACGCATTGTCTGTGTAGATCTGAACGCAAAAACCGAGGATAACTGTCGAATTTCATCAAATTGAAGATCTGCTTTTGAGCCTAAAAAGAATTCGTTTTTATTAACAATCAGTTGAATTACCTCTTTAAATCTTTCAAGAAAACTAGTGAATATTTCTAATATAGCCAATCAGTACGCGGATTTACTTTTAAACGATATCATTGCTAAAAATCGATATAAAAAAAATTCTCAAAAACGTCCTGACATATTTTTTTCTTTATAACTAGATTGAAAATAGTGTTCGTATTAAGGGGTTACATGGGTTTCACGGTTTCAAAAAATCAAAAAATTTTTAAAGTTTTTTTTTGTCTTATTAAATTCTATAACATCTCTGGAATATTGTCCTTTTTTATTTTTAAGTTGATCCGAATAATAGTTTCGGAGATACAGCCTTGAAAATGTGGACACTTGAGGTCTATCTTATTGTTTCTTAAAACTTTAAACGCGTTTTGCTCAAAACTATGTTTTCAAAGACGGTTGTCAAGATTTCTTAGGATCTACTCACCTGATCTTGATGAAATTTTACACAGGTCTTCGAGATATCGTTTACAAGGTATTGAACGAAGGATTTTCTTTTTGTTTAATTACAACTATTTAAAAAAAAGAATGTCGAGAAATTTTAATCGAAACTTGCATTTTTTTTTATAAAAACGTCTGCCAAAAATCCATTTTCATTTTTTTCTTCTTTCCTTCGTCCAATACCTAGTTTATTGTCTTTACTAAAACACGTATTTTTTATTTTTATTTCGGATGATTCTGAAAGAAGTTCTGCTGACAACGCGAAGGCACCTTTTTTTCCGAAGGACTGCCGGAAATGGCATCGCGATTTTTTTTTGAAAATTTTACAAAATGTTTATTAAATATGTATCTTTCAAATAAAAAAAATCATTAATAATTTCATTTTCTATATGTAAAAAACATAATTGATAAAATGCTGTTTTTGACCCGAGGAAACCCATGTAACCCCTTAATCACTACAGATAGTTTTCTACAAAAATACTCGAATTCATTAGGATTGTCAAAATGCCGTATGAACATGTTACCAAAATTTAGCTTCAATGTGAATATGAATAAAATCAGTTGAAAAAAAAATAGTTAGGCAAAATTGTATATATAATGTCGTATTAAATCGCGGTTATGGTATGACTCCTTCTAGTCTATTGAATACTGGGCAGTATAATTAAATAGAAAACAGAAGTATATTGCAAAGAGTATTAGTGCTTTTATTATTAAAAATAAGAAAGTTTTATTTACCTGACTAAATAGATCTTTATCCGCAGTAGCAAGACCATCCTGGGTGCTTTGTCTGGCCTGTGCATCGACGTTAACCGGCTCAAGCGCTCCGTCTGCCAGGTGAGCATCGAATATTTCCCGAGCTTCCCGCTCGCGGTCTGCCTGCCGTTCAAGGCGACGATAGCGTTCACAAGCTGTCCAGAAGTAGATGTTTTCATGCGAAAATTCTTTCTTTAAGAACTCCTGAAAAGGTAATTAAAAATTATTCTAACTATTAAATGTTTAATTATTATGTACTTAATTTATCTGTACTAAATTTTTTCAAATAAAGTTAGAAAATGTCTTCGAAGCCAACTATAAATAATTAAGAATAACTAACTTGGCTATATTACATTTAAAATGCAGACATTTTTCAATGAACTGCGCGCTATTTAAAATCGAATCCAAGTAAACATAATGCTCACGCATAAATTAATGACAAGTAAATTTAGTCAAGATGGTCAAGATTGACCTGAAAACTTTTGTAACCAAGCCGAGAACCCTTGCAGCCTAGTGCCTTGACGCACATATAAATATTTGCAAATTATTATAAGTGTAGAGTCTAGCAAATAGACAGAGTAATAACGTGGACATTTGAGGATACCAGCACAAAATAATTAGTAGCTTTAATAATTTTTATGGTAATGCCCGAGTCAAAAAATAAGTTCTAATTAGGACCCTACGCTTCGAACTAGCTGCTTTTAGGTACATAAAGCTCTTTCCAAGTACGTAAAAACAGTTACAAGCTCTTTTAGAATCGAAAGTACTACAAATAAACACATTATATTTTTGACATATACAACATAACCTCACCACTAGCAGAACATCTGAAAAATGCTTAAATTTACATGTTTGTTTAAATGTATAAACAGAATATATGATATGTCAAATCTCCAATTTCTCATGTAAATAATTAAACATAATTAAATGTATTACAACTAATAATAAAGTGTAATAAAAAAAACATTTTAATAATAAAATTTATTAAGTACATAACATACATAAAAGAAACTAATTATTTTTAACTCTTTGTTGCCTTTTTTTACTCTAATTCATACTTATTTATAGGTAATCCTACATAAATATTTCCATCAATATTGATATATATACAAACATATAGTAATGATTTTACAGGAATAGCAATGAAGCTTTTTTTTCTTGTACATTTTTTTATAAATGAATAATTTAAACTTTTATATTTGTGACCTTTGCCGATGAAGCAATCTTCAATATTGGATTCTTCCACAATAGCAAAATGTTCATTATTAATTTTTAAAAATAATGCAAGAATCCAATATTGTATTTGTTATTTAAATTGTAAGAAATAGCACTGGAATAAGTTTGCATGTTATTCCTGTACATTTCAGCAATAAATAATTGATCATTCTTCAAAACTCGAAGATAGTATTTTAAAGAAATGTTTTCAACTGTAATGTTAGAGGTTTGAAGTGCAACCTCTACTTTGCTTGGAAACTCTTTAAATACTTTATATACTCCAACACTATAAGTATGTTCAAATATTTTTTCAATTATCTTCACCTGTTTTTTTCTTTTTAAGCAAAACTCTTTAACTTCCTTATTTTTCATACATTCAATTATTTTCTCCTTCTTTATATAAAATTCTTGAGATTTGCTTACTTGAGAATCAATATGCCGTGTTCCATGAATTAATTTTAATAATTGGCCATTTATATCCTCATATTCGAAACAAGAATATACCCACAATGGTCCAAGATTCTGTACACAGTCTGGTAAATGTAATAATTGATGTACATTTATGGAGCAGTACATTTCACCATACAAGTATTCAAAACATTTAACATATTTGTGTAAAAATCTCTAGCAACATCAAGTTTATACAAAGATATAGTATTGGAATTCAAAATGGAAATTCCAGCCACGAGCAACACATAATGTTCAAATATTGTGGTGCAAGAATTCCATACAAAACAGGGGTAACGAGTAATGAAAGAACCACAATTTTAATTCTGATGCTTTCCAATGTAGTAACTCTGTAACACTTCGAGGCATCCGATGCACAAATTTGGGTGGTTTTATTGATTTTAATCTAGCATCAATTACATTTATCACGGCATATAAAGAAAAAGGCTTATTTTTAAATTCAGTATTGAAAAATAAAGATAAAATCATCATAAAACACATGAAAAAAATAATTCATATTAGGCTTTTTGTCTCCATACCAAAGACCTAATAATAATGTATTTTCCCTTTTTTTGCGTTCCTTAATAGGTAACTCATTAAGTGTTAGATAAATAGGCCATGCACTGATTTTTGAGGATTTAAATACTGGTATGCCGTCTGTATACCAAGTGAATGAAATATTGTCAGGGTTACAAAGAAAGCCCTTTTGTACATATTTACGGTATAAAACACCATCATAGACATCAGATATACAATCTGGGTTATTATTTATCCGCTTATTATGGCAATCTTGTAGCTTCGAATAAAATCCATCTCTCTTGTACATTTCTCTCAAGTGTTCAAGAAATGGTAATTGAATAAAATATGGATTTTTTTTTGGGGGGCATGATGGACAAATGCTGTCAGATTCCAGTTGCACTCGTCCACAGAAATGGCAATAGTAATGTTTAATAAATTCAGAATGATCTAAAGAAAAATATTTTTCTAAATTTGTACAGACTGTTTTAACCAGTCTACTTTTCATACAATGCAAATTAATAACAGCAATTATATCAGCTATGCACTCTAGTGAAACGTTATGACGTAAAAAAATCATTAATATGAGAAACATGCTATTTGATACTGTTATTGGAGCATTTTCGTAAACCTGTTCATCAAAATTGACTTCTCTCTCTTCGGGTTGATCTAATTCAGATTCATCTTCCACTTCAAACACACATTTATGTTCAAGTTCATCTTCTTGATCATTTTGTTGAGAATAATCATAAACATCATTTTCAAGAATAGTATCATATCGTACACCATCATCACTGTAAAACGTATAATTAGACAAATTGATATGTGTAACAAAAATACAAAAAATAATTGATTTATAAAATGAAATGAAATCTACATGCTTACCGTGTGAGAGTTGAAATATTTTCAACTAAGTTTATAGATTCTCTATTATTTTCTCTATTAAAAGCTTGCATTAGCCGTTTTCGCATTTGTCGAGGGCCAACTTGATCTATAGATTTCCTTGGTATCATTTTAATACTTATATAAATGACAATTAATATATAAAACAACTCAAAAAATGAAAACACCAAAATTGCAAACACAAAAAAACTGTATATGCAACGAAATTCAATGTGCACGTACATTTCGCGCCATAAAAGCTTAACAAGTTGTCTGCCGACCACTCTGAATGCCTATGTTCATTTTTTTTATGTTATAATTATAGCAAACTGAAAATTATGTGATCATAAAAAATATACATAAATAAATAAAAATATAATTTACATTAATTTTAATCTAAATAAATGATAATATAACATAAATAATGATATAAATAAAGACGAAAAAAACACATAATGCAGAAAGGCAGAAAGACATAAATAAATAATACTATTATTTACATTAATTTTAACATAAATACATAATATTATAACATAATAATAACATAAATAAAGACGAAGGAACACATAATGCATAAAAGTAGCGAAACTACGGTCGGCGGTCAACTTGTTATCAACATCTGGTTTTTGAAACATAGTAAAATCCCGAGAATAGCGAAATGGCGTTGGCGTCGGTAGAGTGATTTGATCATTTGCGCGCGGTTTACTTGTTGGGTTTCGTTTTTGCTTTAAATTGTGTTATTTAAATTTAATTATTAAATTTATTTAATTATTAAAAATGCCTAGAACAAAAATGTTTGCGTTAGTGTTGTGGATGGAATCAAATCCACGTTGTACCGATATATTTCCTTTGAGGAGTATTTGCCCTACTGATAGGTATGTAAATGCAATCACAAAATTAAAGTGGAAAACAAGCAACAATGTTAAGGCAGGCAGAGGCGAAGCAAAGGTTTTGGCTATTAGCGGTATGTATATCTCAATGATTATTTTATAAAATGTATTAAATTTATTTTTAACTGAAAATATTGAATTTTAGATGATATGCAATTCTTGAACAATATGATTGTTAGTGTGGATGGCGACATAAATGTTCCTGCTAACACAATATTTATGGCAAACATTGTTCAGGAAAATGCATCTTTACAAGAAAATCGAAAGGTAGAGCAGATAGTTGCTCTATCGAATCGAAAAGTTATGGATGCCAGGCTAAGGGTTAAGCCAACTATTTTTGATGGTGGTAATGCACTTAGCCTCACTAATGTTGACCAGGAGTATGTGATACTTGATGATACACCCATCGATTATGTTGACGACCAAGGCAACGTGCTTATTATTAATGGAGCTCCTGAGTCTACACATGAGATTCAGGAAATAATTAATGTGAATGACAGTGATTCTGAAGAGAGTTGTAGTTCTGCTAAATCAGCAGAACTACAGTGCTCAGAGGACAATGTTAACGCAGTCCCTCTGACAATTTCTTTTAAAGGTACAGTATAATATTTTAAAAATAATGTTTTTTATATCGAATAACTACATATTTCTATTGAATTAGTTACCCCGGAAATAATAGAGAGTGCACGTGTGTGGTTAACTGCATTGGAGGTTGCATATAAAACACAAAATGAGGTGAAGAAGATTGAGAATGTGCAATCAAATGCAATGGTCGAATCCAACTATAAATTCAAGGTAGTTATAAACTTCTCTTCATAAACCATGTAATATTTATGCAGAGCGCACCGTAAGTCTTTTTACTTTTTTCTTTATTTAAAAGGTACACAAACTCCATATGTGACCCATTCAAAAGCAAATTGACTTTTAGTTCACACTGTAATTAAGGATATAATTTATGTTCCAATCAACAATCTTTTTTCTACTTATAGATTCCAGCATGCTTCTACATTCCTGGAGAAAACATGGTAAATTAATGAATAAAATGCTTGCTTTTATAAGATATTTTCAATGCTAGGACTAAATATGTTTAATTCTGTAGGAAGAAATATCTCCAGGGTGTGGATTCTTTCTTCCCAAAAATAAAATAATATATATTGAGCAAATGTCGAAAGCAAACGGAACAGAAAATGGCTGGGTGAATGTAGTAAGGGAGGTGCTGCTTCTCGTTTATGGGGAGCAGTTGAAAAACTTCTCAGCCACTGGGATGAGGAGTAAGCGGCCTCCAATCGACCAAAATTTATTTGGAGGGTTATTTGGTAAATTTTTAAACATGCTTATATTGATATAATTGATATTATTATTAAGTATCTACTGAGGATTTGAAAAACATTAACAGCTACATAACTGAAATATAATTTATGCACATGAATCTAAACTGTTTTTAATGAAATAAATTGATATTTGTAAATGTGAATAGTATTAATGCAAGTATTATTTTTTCCAGATTGGTGCCGTCGATTGAAATTTATGCTGGACAAAAAGTCATTTATACATTACGTAAATAAATGTTGTGCCAATAAACGGGCAAATAAAAAATAAATATAAAATGTGTTTAAATTACTTATTTATATATGTACCTACTTCAAAGACCTTATAAATACATATATAATTGCAATCCATATGTATTATAAGGCCTATGACCTACCTACATTTTTATAAAATTTCAGGAAAATTTTAAAATCGTAATAACCTAACCTCAAACTTACACCCTGACAGTTTTGACATTTATGCTCTTTTAAGTAGCTATAGTACCTTGAAAATGCAGGCTCTTTTAGGTAAATTACGTTCCTAAAACTGCACTAAGTGGGGTCTAATGTACCTAAAAGATCTTAAATTTATATGGCGAAAAGTGGTTAATTCTCAGGTTTCGGAACTGTTTTGAGTACTTAAAAGATTTTAAATTTCGACTCGGGTGGGACAATCAATTACAGTTTACTCATCAAAACCCGTGATTCCCATGGAAATTATGGTAAAGAGTGCGGAAATTATAGGCCCACATTTTCGGAAATATAAAATATTTTAATCACATAATTTATGAATTATAAAACCGCAATTTAACCTAGTGCTTTTACCACATCTATCACACTTGCAATTTTGAATTATTTGATAATTATTATACAGAATTTCAATCTCTAAGTTTATCCGTTTTTGCTCGTATTATTCAAGGTTGTTATATATTAAATAAAAAGTGATAAAACTTAAAATTTTTAAAAATCTGATCACAATTAAAACCTGTTTTATGTGGATGAATAAATTTTAACTAAAGGATCAAAGTAGGTGTAAAAAAGTGGTTTCAATTTGCAAACAAATAATTAATATAGTTACTTTTCCAACGACAATTTATTTAAACTCCTAAATATATGTAGTATTTGATATTCACGTTATCAAATGCTAAAGAACATATGTTATGTAATTAGAAGCTTTATTCTTAATTCTTCCGATCACATAGTTTACTGCGCGTGATAGAAATTTCGAAACCAGGAATTCAATTGCATTCGTTTGGAAACCACATTGCCAAATTTTGAATTAACTATTTTATTTTGCAATTTGACTAATGTTAGAGAATGTTAATTCAAGAATGTATTCTTAGTTTCACTAGATCTATAATTTATAATTACGCAAGTAAGTCAATCAAAGGGATATAGTGCGAGTCTTTGTTTGCGCTCATAAAGCAGAAAGTGAAATGCAAAAGATATGCAGCTTGAACAACTCCAGCAATCTATGAGTAATAATGAATATATTGCGTATTGTGAAAATGCATTCAAATCAACTACAATGGACGAGGAATGCAATGAATTAACTATAAAATTGGAAGTCTTTTGTGAATGATGTACTATTCATATTGGATATTCATCTTAATCCAAGCGAACTCTAACTGAATCCATTAAAAACAATTTAACTTTAACTAATATTTCACCATAATGTAAACAATATGTTATTAACTTCCCGAAGAAGAAGTTTATGCTTTCATCAAAAAATCCGAATTGCTAATTTTATGTTCTCTCGACGTTTCAAGCCATCCTGAATCGAATGAGACCAAATTTAGAAAAAGTTTGTGTGTGCGTGTATGTAAACAGATTTTTTGCCGTAAATCAGTGTTTTCTCAAAAACGGCTGGACCGATTTCAAATCGTTTCTCAGTTTTGTGCGACGATCGGCCGAGCCGTTTCTTTGTAATTTGGAAAAAAGTGTTAAACTTTTTGTCCACATTTAAGCTCATACTACCGAATCGATTTTAAAAAATCAAAAACTGTTCGAAAGATATTAGTTGGGAATGATAATGATTAGTTTTAGGTGAAAATCTACCGAGCCGTTTTCTTCTAATTAACTGTTGAAAAAAAAATTAAGTCGATTTTCATGGAACTTTTTTTGGCGATATATATCATGGTCTTATATAACTTACTGAAATAATACGGCCTTACGACAAGTTGTTTAATTTTAAAAATTCATCAAAGTTTGAGAAAATAAGTAGTTTTTTTGACATTTGTTAAAATTAAAATTAGACGATTTACTTGGTATAACGATAGAGTACTTGGTCTTAATGAACATGCTAAACGATTAAAGTCTTACAAAAAACTGGCTCAATTATAACGTAACTGGTTGACGTATTCCATTTTTAATAATGTGTAATAAATCCACTTCGAATACTTTTAACTACTCATAAATTAATTTATCTATCATGGATTAAGTCGATTATTTACACAAATCGGGAAATTCATGTAACTTGCCTCAAGGCAAAATCCAATATCAACTAGTTCCAAATACGTTAATAGAAAATTTAAGGTATTAGCAAATACCATTAATAAAATGTGTCTATAAATCCTTATAAAATTTCCAAGTGTCCTTGTACAGCGTGTGAACAATGCTTGTGATTCATTTCAACAAGGATGTAATGAACAGATAAAGACTTCATTTACATAGAAAATATGTAATTATATTACAATCAAGGTTATAAAATATTGAAAATAAATTGCCACTTACCGCAAACGCGTGTATTCCCGAATTATCAGCAAGGAGTCTTTCAAATGAAACCGACCAGGATGCAACACCTCCATTTCCGCCGTTGGCACTGGCATCACTTTCACTAGCTCCATCTGGGTCCTAAAAATAATTGTAAAAATTCACTTAACATCACCATTTTATTACATCACCATTATTTTATCACCATAAACCATTTTATTTAATTTTTTGGATAGTTGCTTATACCGTCATTATAAAAATCAATTTTCTTGTCCGCTCATAATTATCTGAGTTACACGTTGATGGGCTTCGCTATGTTTTATGGAAATGCTTGTGACAAACATCAAATATTAATCATTTAACAAAATAACTTAAATATTATCTCTTCGCTGCGTCACATATGACATGTTCGAAAAAATAAATAATTGCATCAGTAACGACACAAATAAACTGCATACAATTTGGTGAGAAAAACTTTAGTGACCCATCGTCTGCTGTACGTTATCTTGCTAGCATTTGATAAAAGTATTATCATTTTTGAAATTTCGAAAAAAAAAAATTGTAGTAAATTGAGAAAGTAGTAACACTTTTTCTACTTTGAGATATGGGAAAAAATATATGTTTCCAAATGTATGCATACATAATAATTTAATGAAAACAAATTTTGGTTCTCACGTATTGGTAAATAAATATTTATATATACACACTTTACACTAAGTATAAAAATATATTAATAACATGCACGATACATTAGCCTAAGCAAACACCAGAATATTGAGCATTATCATATGTATGTGTCGGGATGGGATGTCAGGATCAAATAAATACATCACGAAAATTAAAATTTGAAATAGTAAATATTTGGATGTACTTTTCCAAATTTATATACCTTTGTATACATGTCATGATCGTCCGATGCCGCAATGGAAGTCGGTCTTCTGTACCGACTGGCGGCTCTTGGAGTTGAACGAGACTTTAGGGAGCTGGAGGATGATCCCCAACGCCTGAATGGTGAACCAGCGCATACTGCACCACTCTGGAATAAAAGATTTAGATGAAATACTGCTATATGCAGTAGTTATGGGGTTAACTAGGTAACTAGGTAGAAAACTCCTAATCGATGTGATTGAAGAAACAAAAAAGGTTATCACTGATCCTTTTGCTTCAGAAAAACCTAGCTAATGATTTAAACCTGACAATATACTGCCAATAAAAGTACTCAACATTGATATTTACATTTTTTAATAATATAGATCAGACTCCATTTTCGTTAATTTTGTGTCGATTAAGGATTATTTAATAAATAACTAGCAAACCCGACGAACTCCGTTTCGCCAGCAGATGGTTTCGAGAGAAAGATGAAGAAATTTTATGTTTGTTTTATATTTGAAAAGGAAAAATTTGATTTTATTATACAACAGTAATGAATTTATTTCGATTACAAAAATGAAGTGTTTTTTAGTTGAACTTCTCTAAGTAAATAAAAGTGAAACCGCAAATTATCCGTTTCATTGAAGTGTTCTTTGGTAAACCACATTTTTTGTTTTTTGGTCTGACGTTAACACAAACAAAGCGGATGGTTTCCCAACTCGAGAACAGGCAACGTATAACTGCCCATGTGAAAAACAATGATTTTCTAAATAATCTATTTGAAATTTATCCCGCAAACACTAAGCGATTGGCCTTGCGACTTGTTAATTGTCATTGCGAACGCAATGCGAACTGGAAATTGCAATCGTTTGAAGTCAAACGGAATACCAGTCGGAATCATTGGTATGTCACCAAATCGCCAGCAATTTTTGATTGAATGGTGAAATTCAGTGCGTGTACATCATTATTCTTTGCGGCAAGAATTGCTCGTTGACTTAACCAAGCATAATTCTGATAATTCTCACTAATGTCATTACTTGAATTTTTAATTACGGTGCGTGAAGTTCCAGCAATTTGCATTAAGGCACGATGCCATGCACAACTAATTTTCTTAGCTATAAACCCTGCGGAGTTTGAGACCTTTCCAACGAATGCAAAATTTTTGAAATCGGTTCGTGCGTTCTGGAGTTATATCGTTAGGAAGAACAACCCGAATTATTTTTATATATATGTAGGTTGTAAAGCATTCTTTGAATATGTATCACCTTTTGAATTAATTGAGAAATTTAAGTTGAGTAAAGGCAAGTATCAATATTAATCATGAAAGCTCTAATTGCAACTCACGCAAAACTTGATTTTTTCTCTAAAATTCAATTAAGTAATTATTTAGTAATATTAACGCCCATAATATAATATGCATATAATTTTTATGCCATTGTTGGATGAGTGAAAATTATATCATTATATCAATATATATATGTATTCAAATTCAAGTACAAAACTACGTGGAGGCTCATAAATTAAAACTTAATATTTTCATGTTTGATATTTTAATATGTCACAGACAAAATATTATAAATTAATTTTAATTCCTTTCTATTAGCATAGTTCATAATCAGGATGAGTGTTTAAACTTTCTCGCGTTCTCACGTACCAGTAGAATACTTTCCAATAGCATTTAAATTTATCACAGATTAACTGAACATAAAACAATCACCAAACTTTTAGGTAATATTTTTTAAACAACACTAAATTATATTATAAAAATAGCTAGAACACTAAAATAATTTTTCCAGAAGCCACTCAAGTCATGCGATGTGATATCGCCGAGTTCCACTATGGAAGTATTTCAGCACTCAGCGCCGCAATTAGCAAATATTGGCAAAATCCTTATCACTATTCTAAATTTAGATTAGAACAATGTGTTTTATAAACATCGCTAACGTTTATGCTAAAATTAGACTTGACACTAATTATCGATATAAAATAGCATATTTATGCACGTTAATACATAACAACAAATAATTTATGATCTTATGATAATGTTGTTATCAGTGTTTTTATTTAAATATCTTTGCAATAAATGATGAAATACCTTGCGTCAAATATTTGGAAAAACATGGTGTATTGCGCAAAGTTAAACAAACATCTAGGTTTAATTGCCCATTTGCAAAAAATATTTATTAGAACTTATGTTTTTATCGTGTATTTTAGAGTAATCGATTCTTCCCACATAGCTCTTTAATTCGATTTTTAGTTACCATCTTATTCTGGTGCATATATTAGATTATAATAATTTAATAAACTATTCGTCTTCATGGCTTTCACATACTATTTTCTATAACCAATATTAAATTGTTGAGAAGTACTGATGATTATATTATATACTAAGTAAACAGAATAATTAGTGTTATAACCACCTAATAATTCAGGAAAATTTCAAACATTATTTTTGCTATTATTCTATTTGTGCATTTATTCTATAATTAATATATAGACGATAATAGGAAAGCTCAGTTATATTGCAAATTAATATTATATAATTTGATTTTCCAAATATGTATTCCAAAATTACCTACGTAACGCTAAAATCTAACAATAGCTTCAAAATACATGTCTTTTCAGTGTCAAGGAGAAAAAATGTGAGACACATCTTGCATATTTATGAAGTCACGATATCGTATCATATACAAACATCACGTTCATATTAAACCAAGAAACTTTAGGTTATTTTCCTCAGCTCAACTCATCTTAGAATTTACATTGCCAAGAATAAGATAAATTCTAATATTTTCTATAAACATAGTTTCAATAGATCTCAATATCTTTTCCATATGTAGAAATTTGTTCTATAAATAGTACATGATTTACTTTTGATAGTCTGAGCTAATAAAAATATTTGATTATAGATGATTTGAATAATCAAGTGATATATTTAGACGTTTATTATAATTTATTTCATTTAAATTGTTTGATTTGAATACATTTCGCATAAATTTCATGTCTCAAACATTGTACACCGTTGAGAACATATTCTATGTGACAATGCAACGGTATCTTGGTATTGAGAACAGTTGAAAGAATTTAGAAAAATGAGAATTTTAGGAAATAGATATTTAATAGAAAAGAAAATTTAATAAATCAATCCATTTATACAAAACCATTCATGAAATCTAAAATTGTAGCAAATAAATTGTATTCATTTTCATGAATATGCTTATAACAGTAATTTTTTTAATCATTCCCTAAATAGTTTAATGGCGTTTAACTTTAAACAATGATTCAAAAAATGAAATGTGCAGAAATGTATATGGGAAGAAAATGAATTCTCGTATGTTAAATGATATTTCTATTTTGATTTATAATGTATCTACTTACAACTATTAATCATGAGCTTACAGGTTGAACTCAAAGGAGTGCCTAGTATTTGCAAACGACACATTTTGACTATGCCAATGTAACTTATAGAAAATTATACACCATAATTTTAAATATAATTAAATGTCAAATATACATTCACTTCTCAAAAACAATCCTGGGTTAAATGTTAGATGGTGACAGCTTTAAAATAACCGGATTGTTGAGAGCTTCGATATGAAGCCTAAGAGTGTAATGGATCATGATTATATTAATGTACATGGGTAATGATTTTAAAATGCATTACTATCGTGATCGGAAATGGATTATAAATTACCTCGATATTAATTCATTAATATCATCAATATTAATAATATTCTTTGATTAATCAGAGTTAATTTTAAAATTATGCAGTCGGCATTAAAAATAGTAGTGTTTAGAAGTGACGGTAAATTTTTTCCAATGATATGCTTTATAAAAGCCATCGATTACATTTTATTGCTGATTTTGTTTTTCTTTAAATATTTAAATCCTGGACTAATATAACATAGTTATTCAAATCAAACTTTCTCACACATCAGAAGAAGCACAAGTTCGAAGATCATTGCCACGATGAAAAGACATAATATGTTGAAGACATAATAACAAATGAGTTGCATTTAATCACTATAGTTGCTCACACGTTCCTTTCTCAAGCATTCTCATAGTTTGCAAGATCTCATCATAAATAACAACTTAGGAAGATGCTGTGTACAGTATAAAACAACCGGATTTTAGCACAAAATACTGTATTTATACATTTTGTTCGTACCAGATAAGGATCAAATTTTGTAGATATTATCATTAAAATATTACATCAATCAGGTTTTATAATATTTTATGCCAAGACTGATATTCCGATCATATTGTCGGTGCTTTATTCAGGCTGAACTATAAAATTGTGACTAACCGCATCTGAATTGTAGGTACAGGACAAAAAGCAGCATAGTAATTACGCTCTGTTATAGACTCGCATATGATACAATGGTGGACTAAAACAGGAAATGCTAGCTTTCTATTTAATAGTGTTGCCCTTTTAAAATCGAAATCATTTTAATTCGATGTAATCACTTCAATTCTCTCTACCATAGTTCAAATTGAAAAGGAAATGCAACACGTAATAAGTCAAACCATAGAGATGAAAATAAATCATTCAATTTTTAAACATCCTCAATTTTTTCATCATGTAAAATGAATTATGTAGTTGATATTTTTTAAATTGAATAAACAATGTGCTGGTGACACAAATAATTGACTAAATATTTGTTTGTTTTTTTTTTTTTAAATAAATAATATCTATACAAATAATATTATAATCGGTTCAAGATTGTGAGCTAAAACGTGGACGAAATATTTTACACTTTTTTGCTAATTACAAATGTTACCGCCACGAAATTATGAAATTTATTGAAACTCTCCTTCGATAATTCAGGTTGTTGGGTTATAATTTAATCCTTGTAGCTGTGGACTGTATTAAACACTGATTTGTTTATATATTATGTATTTGTTGCAGTTCTGATTACAATCACTGATTTGTTACTAAGTTACAATGAAAGAAGATATATTTATTGGCTATTCATTATAGGGGGAAGTCCCGTAATGACGGACGGCACCTAAAGCCGGACAATCTATTCAACACGTATTATTTAAGCGAGTCTTCGAAATCTTTTACCCCCATT